CTTGGAAGCATACTAGGTAGTGCTTCATCAAATTTTTGACTAAACAGCTTGTCAGTAGTAATGGCTCGGAGGAGTCCTCCAAAGAAACTATTATTCAATCTAGAATTGAGTCAGAACAGATGTTAACCCTCTATAGACAGTGAATGTGGAGATATTGAAGACAGAGTTTGTATTATAGGCATACCTAACTTAGAGGGTGTGATGGAACCTGTAGAAATTCAGTGCTAGTAGCATAGCAATGGTGTGTTCTACTGTGAAGATACTAAACAGAGTTAATACGTCACTGCTGGTAGCAGACCTAGTCTTTGATATGTACAGATGTAATTTTAAGGGCCAAAGCTGACAACTAGCACTACACACAGTCTAGACTGAATCATGTACAGCAGGTGCAATCCAGGCACTAAGAAATGAATAGCTAATTTTCAATTGAGTCAAAAAGAGTGGGAGGGAAAGGCTTAAGATTTAAACTCTAGAGCTGATAACTCAGAGGCATCTGGGGTCCAATAGCAAGAGTAAACAGGGAGTTAAAACATTGGATTCCTTTTTAATGTCTATTGTCTTATTGCATAGACATGTAAAAAGGGACAGATTAAGTCTGGTTGCCTGGTGACATCACTCCACCTTCCTCTGACCAGGTATGAGAATGTCCTTGGTTCCCAAGAGAAAGTATTTTGTTCTGGCTACAAAATCCCAGCTGTCTCAATTCCCCCTTTTCTATCCCTCAGCTCCAGCGTGGCAACATTGAAGCCGTCAAGATGGCTTCAGTCAGATCAGCTTCAGGGTTGACCCTCTTGGCCTTTAGATCTCTCAACATATGGATCCAAAAAAGTGCAGAACATATTCTACTGGAATATATCCTGCTTGTTCTTGGATTTTTATGTAATTCTCAAGAATATTATCTGACAATGGTTAAGAGATGTAAAGGCCTTAAAATTACATCTGTACATATCAAAGTCCTTAAAATTACATCTGTACATATCAAAGCCTAGGTCCACGAGCTGTAGTGACACCCTGACAGTGATATCTAAAAGAAACCAAACTGATTTAAATCAAATGACACAGACATATATGAAGTGAGATGGCTTATCGTGATGAAGTTAAATGAATTGCAGGGGGAAACATCCAACCCAACTTAATAAAGCAAGAATTGAAATCTTGTTAGCACAAAAGGAACAGAAATCTTATAAATATTCAAACCCTTAATCAAATAGCTTAGGGGAAAAACTGTTTGGAATGTTCATAATGACTTTAAGTGGCTTATTAATGTTATCATTTTATGATAGTGATAGTGCATTGGGGACATCTAATACTTAATTGTATCACAGAAGAATACTAAACACTCCATGTTTGGTCATTTGGGATTATTATCCTAACAAATGAAAACAAGACTTTCCAGTATTAACAATTCCTGGCATTTATGTAGTGCTTGAGAGTTTCAGTACTTCCCATAGTGTGATTCAATTACCCTGTATATTTGTAACCATCCATCTAGCCATGTAGAGTGGATGAAAGAGACTAACTTGCCTGAGGATGACTAGGCAAGTCTGTGAGAAAATATCATTTGAACCAGGAATTTTATGGAGCAGTACCCTAATTACTCTACTAAAGTGGCCAAATAGGTAAATGACATGACTGGCTTTTTATCTTTCATGTCATGTTCTAGAACTGTCATGAACTGTAAAGAGCAACATTTTCCAGCAAATATATCCCAAATTCCATAATATGTATCTTTAATTTCTTCCGATGGCAGTATCTGATTAATTCCAGGTGAGCTAACTCCTGATCTTCTATATCCATTAAAAAATGGAAAACTGTAAAACAATAGCTTTTGGTTTGATGTTTTTTGCCAGAAAAATGGATTCTTTATTTGGCTATATCCTTCTCTACTTTCCAATATTTTTTTAGTAGAAAGCCTTTAAATATAAAAACTAACTACCTTATTAGTCACACATCTTCTCTTCCAAACAAAAATGCAGAATTTAATGAGGTTATTTCTCATGTGGGCATAAGCTTAAACATGTGTATAACAAGATATTTTACTTGTATTTGGATGTCTATAAATAGTTATAGCAAAGAATTAACTATTCCGTATAATAAGCATAGACCTATAAAACCATGCAGTCAAAGTAATTGGCCACATCTTGTAAGCTCTTTCATTAGAATTGCTAGATCTGGGCTGCAAAAATCCAAATGACCTCTAGATAAAAGTAGAAGCATATAGAAAACGCTCTCTTATCATCTTGGGTTTATCTAACCCAGAACTATTAGCCCAATAAGCTTATTTTTAGATATATCTGGAGCCACAGTTTCAACATTTTACAAGCTACATAACTAAATGTTAGAATTTCTTGTTTTTATCTTGCAAAGTGATGTTTTTGTGGATCTTCTAAGCTCACTTTTATGTTCTTGGGCCATTACACCCAAGATTACACATATTACATCAAGGGTGTCAAACTTAAGGCCCAGGGGCCATATCCAGCCCATGGGGCACTTAGATTTGGTCTGCGGGGATACCCTGGAAATAGTGAAGGACCAACCTGTGGTGCTTTTGCCAGTGAAAAAGGGCTCCCAAGCTCCATTTTCAGCTACCACAGCCTCTTGCAACCCTCTGCCAGTGAAAACAGGTTGCCAGTGAAAACAGAGTGTCAGCGTTCCAGCATGCAGCCCTCCTGAGCTCCGTTTTCAATGGCAGAGGGTTGCAGGAGGCTGTGGCAACCAAAAATGGAGCTTGGGAGCCTGTTTTCACTGGCTGAGCAGTCGGGCCACCACAGGCGCCCCCAACAGGAGTGACATCGAGCTAGCCACACCCACTCTGGCCACACCCAACCCATCCCCCTGAGGTCAAACACAACCCTGATGTGGCTCACAATGAAATTGAGTTTGACACCTCTGTATTACACCCATTAGACGGCATAAATACACCCTTGTATGCCATAAACATTTATACTTTTCCCTTTAGTTGTACTGTTATGATTGTTCTTGTTGTTATTTGTAATTGTAAATTTGAAGATTTGAGATACTGAAAAAAGCAGGAGAGAGGCAAATGAAAGCACACAAAAAATGAAAAAGAAAGCATAGTAATAATGACAATTACTACACTATCATATGAAGTGTTTTTCACAGCCACAGGTTTGAGATTTATAGCAAGATGTCAGTTATCTCATGGCCTATGAAATTCACAAGTGCAGCAAAATGATAAAGGGGAAATAAGGAGGTTCTTTTTTCTTTGAAATTGCTGGTTTCCAAATAAATGGTATTTAATCATTTATATTTTTTTATAATGATATAAGTGGCAATTTTTTTTTACTTGAGGCATAGAACAGCTCCTGAGAACCTCTTTTTTGTCTAGTGCTAAAAAGAAGGTTGAAATTAGAACAAAACAAAGAGAATTTTTCAAAGAAGTGAATTACAGATGGGTACATACATCCCTATGATACCTACTGATACCCACAGATAGAAATGGACATTTATCATGGCAACTTTAAAAGAAATATTAGTATTTAATATTTAAATATCATTTAAAGAAACTCTATCTGATTTGCTCTGGGAGTATATTTTTAAAGAAAAGATGTCTGGTGGCTGCTAGATCAAAACATGGACTTTGAAATTTCCAATACCAAAGAAAGTGCATTGATAATCCATTAAAACTCTAAAAATCAAAGACTAAGAAGAAGAGGCTTTCAAAAATCTGGGTTTGTGCTTAACTTTGTTCCATTTTTGTGACTGCACAAGACTTTGTAAACTTTACAAAAGAGTGTCTGATATTTCAATAATACTGGATGCATAATGTCAAAACTATCTGGGCTTTACAAAAAAGCATTTTCTGAGAATGAAAAAAACCACTTTTGTGAGCAGAAGCCTATATTCATATGGCCTTTTTCTTCTCATTGTGGGCCTTCTTAATTCCCAACAGCCTTCTGTGAAGGGTCCTTCAATCTTTTTGGAGCCAGAAAAATTCCATCACAGGTATGCTTAAGGAAGTCATTCTTTAAGCATACTCTTGAATCTATAATATCTCTCTAGTTCTTTCATGACTGTGCTGATAAAATGGGGATCTTAAATCCTACTTAAAAGTATCATGCTTGAAACTGTAGACATTCTATGGCTTAAATAAATGATGTCATTGCTCTTAGAATGATGGAAGACTTTAGCAGAGATGGGTGCAAATTGTAATCAGAATGAAAATAAGCATATGCATAAATATAGAAAGACAATAGTGTAACTTTAGTAAGACCCTCCAGAGTATTCATGGTAGAGAAGAGATTTAATGTAAGGGCTTCCTGCTCTAAAACTATTTCTTATATAAATTTTATTCACATGATGAAAATTCACATTACTCACAAAATTCACATGTAGAATTTTGATTATTTATTACTCAGGGATTCAAATTTTTATATTTCCTCTTTATTATTGGATTTAGAGTGAAACATGTCCAATAAAGTGAAAATTGTACCACCAAGGAGGATTTGGAATATACCCTTACGTTAGTTAATAACATTTATTCATGAGAAACAAGAGCAGAAAATGACATTTGAGTTGGAATTATAATCCCCCTTTCCCCCTATGGACTGGGAATTACTGTGGTCTAATTATTAGCTTATCTCACTTGTGACTTATTGTTTGATATTTCTCTTTCTTATAAATGAGGTGGAGCATAAATAAGATGAGATATTATGTTCCTTAAGAAATATCTGGAGTGTTATGGCATATCAACAAGAAGGAGAAAGGAAGGAGAACATTGGTTTCATGCCTCCATGGTCCATAGAGTTTTCAATCATCCATGTACAATTTAATTTACTCAAAGTGAGAGAGGGGTGGGATAGGAATAGTTTAAAAAAAAAAAACCTTATTTCAATTCTTAACTCCAAATAGACTTACTTAGATTTAAACTATTGATATAATATAATGAAAATGATGTTACTTCTTGCACTAAGTTTACTTTAAATATCTTAATTACTGAATGCTTTTTATAAATGCTATATTTTTCTCTTTTCAAACAGAGCAAGTATTGTACAAAAGCGAATTATTTATTTTCAAGATGAAGGATCTCTCACCAAGAGATTGTGTGAGCCAGGTACGATGAATACTCCTTTTCTGTTTCCATTCTTTTTACTCTCTGATGAATATGATTTGCCCACAACATTTCTCTCTTTTAACTGGGAGCACATAACCTGCTGAATTTAAATAGTTTTCAGTCATACTTACTTCAGTGCAAAACATCTGTCAGATTTGATATGTTTTGACAAATTTATACTACTTCCTAAATTAACTGCATCCTCAAAATTACCTTTTGAACTTGTTTATTTGCAAATGGTATGTTACATTCATTTATGTTACAAATTGTGAGATGTGCATAAAAATAAATCAACAGACTTTGATAATCTGATCCATAGGTTGCTTTATTAGGGAAGATACTGCAGTATCGGACTCCCCAACTCCAAAACCAACCCTGTTTAGAAGGAAGGAGATGCTTCCATTTAGTGAATACAGCTTATATAGGTTTATCAAATCACATGGTTACATAGCACTTCCTTTTTTCCATACATAGAAGTTATACAATGTTTTTCATAAGAAAGTTCCACCCTCTCATGGAAAACTCCCAACATTCTCATTATAGTCAGATTTCCTGTTATTCAAATACCAGAAGATTATAAGAAGACCATTAATATCTCTTAATGTGACTTATAATGTCAAAGTGCCCCAGCACATACCTCTAACTTAGTTTTGCAATCTTGTATAATTTCTAGTAGAAAACACATTGCATAAATGTTCTGAACTTTAAAAGTTCAGACTGAGAACACAAAATGGCTTCAGTTCGGCTCTTTACATTCTCAGGTGTAATAATTTTCTTTCAGAATTTATAGTGATCTTGACTTGGACTTCATCTATGTTTAAATTTGTAAACAAGCAAATTTAGGTGCTTTTCTATGTAGGCCTTTCTAGCTATTCATAATATTCTTTCCTAAATTTGTTCTGAAATTTCCTCAGACTGTAACTCTTGCTCTATGCATTGGGAACTCTGACCAAGATCATAGTCTTGGAAAAGTTTATATATCAACAGAAAGAATTTTATGGGATTTAGAATGTAGCAACAAAAACACTCAAGCCCACATACATGGGTATTAAAGTTTGTTTATTGATTGGATAGAAATATAGAAAAGAACAATATATGTTTAGGCCTGCTGAAACAAAGCTGCATTGTTGCAAACAAAACTGGTGTTCTGAACATTTGACCTTTTTTCACATGCTACAGAAGAGCATGTGGAGAACTGCTAATTTAAATATTTGGGAAAGGGACTAAATTCTCAAATTGTAGCAACAAAGTTTATATGGACATTCCCTCCCCAAGTGAATCAAATGTGTGTGATAATACACACACTGCAGTGAATAAACAAGCTGGTCTTTAAGGAGGGAAGATCCACTACTGAGGCAATGATCAGGTAGATGAAACTGGAACCCAGGCCAAAAAAATTGTTTGCAAAAATTCTCAGACAGCATATACACAAAGATAGAGAGAGAGAGACAGAGACACACCAGAGATAGTGAGACAGAGAGAGAGAGAGAGACAGAGAGAGAGACAGAGAGAGAGACAGAGCGTGAGAGAGAGAGAGAGAGAGAGAGAGAGAGAGAGAGAGAGAGAGAGAGAGAGAGAGAGAGCCTTAATTGTCGTGAAACTAAAAAGGGAGAGGAAGGAAAACACAATTAGTGTTTACGAGTTTCTGTTACTAGAGCTGTTCCAATGAAAGTATTAGTCTAGTCTACCTTATGGTACACACCTCAGACTTTAAACAATAAAAACTGCATGCTTAGAAGAAGCTACTCATGCCAGAGTAATGTCCCTACAGTGGAACCTAGGGTCATGAATGTTTCTGACCATGACCAAATTGGGTGATGACCAAAAATTTTTGCATCTGGTCACGAACACATCCTCGGGTGGCAATCAAACACAGCCACAGTGATTTCCCCTCCCGCGCCCTTTTTTTTTGTTCGTGCATGCGCAGTCAGTCTTGCTTCCGGTCACAACCAAATCAGGTTGCAAAGTCCTGGAACGGATTACGGTCATGACCAGAGGTTCCACTGTACTGAGAGAAGCAAGATAGGAAGTTATATCTACTCATCTTCCTTTCATCTCTCAGGTGGTAGAAATAATGCAAAATAGCCTTTTTTCCAATTGCCACCATAATTACATTCAAATTGCTTCACGCAGACTCATCATGACACTTTCACACAGCTAATCTGAAATATTTTGTCAGAAGAGAAGATGTATTTTTTTGCATTTTTGTTAACAGAAGCACACTGGACAGGTCATTCAACTTTCCAACAGTGCTAGTGATATAGTATCTCCCACATTTTCATTGGCCTGAACAGTTTACTTAGAAGGATTGTAAAATGAGTGTTCTGCAGATAATTTCTTTTGAGATTACATTCAAAATGCATAATTTTTATGCTGAAGCCTTCCAGAGAATGCTTTCTGGATTTTCTTGCACAAGACTAGTGATTCTTTTATGCAGCTTTGCTGAGGAAATTGCCACTCCAATTCATTTTATTTGTTTATTCTTTCAATAATAGTCATTTTTAAAGGGTTACCAAGGCCTTCATCTTTTTCCCTTTGACCCAAGAATCCTGGATTAGCATAATTTGGCCTTGATTTTTATGCTCTTCCTGAAATATCCTGAGGTATGTGTTCTAAGATGCTTAACTGAATTTAATAGAACATGACATATCTGACACTTGCCAGGCTATCTCACTTTCTGAGTCTTTTTAGTAATGCAGATTGCTTTCATTTTGAAACAGCTCTTTATGTCATAAAGGGTGAATGTGCTCAGGAAAGTCAGTGGAGCAAGTTACATAAATTAAATGGAGATGTCTGTTTTGTGGTCTTGAATGCAGAAAAGTCAAAGGAAGCATTAAAAGCCAAAACAATTTGTCAAGAATCTGAACTGCATCCATTTGTTTCTAAAAGAAGGAAAACATTCTGCTTCTCAAAATGTTTTGAAACTCTCTTTTTACAGCATGTTTTTATTTTTATTTCACAGTTAAGTATTAGTGTATGTACAAAACATTTGCTTATACCATGTTCTACCTGTAGACTCTGCTGTGGTAGTGAGCAGAATTTTCTAAAATAACAGTTGGGAATGATATTGCCTTTCTTTGGGGCTTCTATTTCTATATGAAGAATTGTTGTTTAGAAGTATATCTAGGAAAATTTATCTGTACTATCAAAACATGAACACCAATGGAAGAAGAGATTTGAGACACACCATTCCCCAAATCATATCTTTCAATGTTCTTTAATATTTTAAGGTGGGACCACCATAATGTGAGAGAGAAAACAAGAAGAATTGATCTTAGAGATACCCTAGAATTCTACAATACAATGCTTTTCTTGTCAATCTCTTATATATGTGCAGTATATATGGTATTTTATGGAACTATGTTTCAGGCCTTTTCACATGTAGGTAGAGTCATTTCAAAAAGGGGAGAGGGAATCAGAAGTTTGAGAGAGAAGCAACAAATGAAGAATGTAAATAACCTTTGAAAAATGGCAGGTAACCTCTGTCGCTTCTGACTCCCATCAGGCAGAATTTCAGCTGAACTGAAGTCATTATAAATAAAAGGCCATCTCTAGGTCCAACTTAGTTCATGATCACAAATGTACCCTGGCATTCAAGGTTACATGTGCAGTCAGCTGAGATTTACAAATATCTAGAGCTGTATTTTACATAGAAAGAGAAGGATATATTGGCTCTCAAAAATGTATTTGCCAAGTCTAGAATTTCAACATTTTGCAGACCATCAAAGTTTGGTGACTTAATAAAGTTGAATTTGAATCACTAACACTTCTTTTTCCAAGTCATTGTGAAATATTTGTGTTACTAGTTTTTTTGAGCAAAATTGAAATTCTAGAATTAAACTATATGAGGAAAGCATATCATATAAATATGTAGCCTTGCTTTTGGCAATGAAATACACTTTGTTAAAATACACAGTTTTATTTCAATATTGAATCTATGCTGTATGTGTTTATCCACTGCTGAATGTTTAACCTTCCTGTAATGAAAAGTGAAATTATCTCCTAGGGAAGTTCATTCAGTAAAAGAACCAAATCATGACTCATAATTCCTATTTGGGTTATTGGACAGATCCTAAATGTGGTAGCATCAGTAGGCATCGACATGCTTTGGTATGCCTATGTAATATCACTTGTTCGTAATACTTCCTGAAATAATAGAGTATAGAGTTATGTGCTACCTCATTTTGTGTTGACAAGATAAAGTAAATAACAGGTGTAAGTAAGCAAAAGAACATAGTGTCAAGCTTCATATGGAGTTTTTGCTGTTGCAACCATTATTGCTTCTCAGCTTGCCAATGAACTATGGGGGGAGGGAAGGGGGAGATAGAATTAAGCTCCAGACATCAAGATGTCAGCCATGGGAACCAAGGACATTTCAGCAGGTGTTTACCTGAACCAAAAAAAAAAAAAACCCTTTCTTACAACAATACCAGAAGTCTTCATTGGACAATGTAACCTGGTCTAATGGGGAGGGAGGACCTGAAGTTTAACTATATGAGTTTGTACAGGAAATAGTTAGATCTGGTTTTGCCCTCATCTTTGCCAATATGATGTACTCAATAAAGTTTTGCATTAAGAGATTGGATCATCTCAGCCATGCTTGCTTTGGTTGGGTTCATCAGTCAGAACATTGACACATAGATATAGAAACTATTTTAGTATACAAGTCCTAGGTACACAAGCAACGAAGAAACATGAAATATCTGTATCCTGGGAAGTTGCTGTGCACATGCCTATTCCAAACTATCATCCTTGGGGATTTCTGACAGGCAGAAGGGACTTAAGGCAATCTTTGCATTATTTGATGCTAATTCTGTTTCATTTAATGAAATCCCTTCACAGATATGCTTATTATCTTTGAATTGGAACAAAATCCATTGCCTAATGTCTTGTTCGGTACCCAACACAATCCTTTTACAGTTACATATTACACAAAATAATGTTTCATATTATTATTTCTTATTAGACTTTGCCATGGAAGGTGTGACAGATAAGCCAATCATAGACTGCTGCGCCTGTGGAACTGCTAAATATAGACTTACCTTTTATGGAAACTGGTCAGAGAAATCACATCCAAAAGATTATCCACGTGAGTATTCTATTCTTGTCCGTGCTTTAGATGACCCTTCATTTCAAAGGACTTTAATTATTTTGTATTCAGATTTTACACATTTTCCACAGAAAAACAGCCGAGCTTTCATATCCAAATATAAAATGTATGGTTCATGAAGTTTCAATTGCCTTCTATTGCTACCCTACAATGAAAATGCTAAGATAAAATACCATTTCAAAACATTGAACATGTAGGATTACAGCTCTAACTGGATGCTTATTTAACAACATGGCACCCTGTTGCATTCACGCTCTAGGCTATTATTTTCAGTGCTGATCAGTATTTTATATATACATTTAATTTAATATAATCCTGATACTTAGTAGAAAAAAAAGCCAAGCCATTATTTGATTGCAGCTCCCTGTATTAGAGGTCCTAGGGTTTTATCTTTTTTTTCTCCAGTTTTGTTATTGGACTTTACTTTTAGATCTTTAAATAATACCTTCATATCAGTGACTTTAAATAATGCCTTCATATCAGAAACCAATCAAGTGACCTGAAGTTTTGAGTCACTTTCAGTTTTGCTTTAATAAAGATTATACAATGGGCAACATATTATTAAAGGCTTTGTATGTATTTTATTCTTTAATATTGCTTTGTTCCCATGCAACAAGCTAAAGTTCATGCAGCCAGAATTTTGTCTATATATCAAATATTGTTGGTATCAGCTTCATAGATTTTTGTCTCAACTTTATTAAGTTGAAGACTGCTTGATTCAGATATAGAGCTGGGCGTGTTAATAAAGGATTTTATACTATCACATTAAAATTTGTGCTTTGAATTTGTGACTGAAATTGAACCCATCAATGCAAAGATTAACTTTTCCTACAGCTATATGGAGATTCTCAGTCATCCAGGTTATGGTTGTCCCAAAGGTGCTTTTTTTCAGGAGGCAACTGGACTTCCTTGTTTTTTTCCTTGAAGACAGGTTTTCCTACTGCTAAGATTCTATAATGCAAGGGTCCTCACCCCCTGGGCCTTGACCCCCTACTGGGCTTTCAGAACCAGACTGTGGAAGTGGCAGGCAGGCGAGCATGTGCATCCTCATTTGTGTGAGCAGCGGGTAAGTGCATTCCATCGGTTTAAGCGGCAGGCACGCATGCCTGCCCCTCATGCAAATGGAGCTGCCCCTGGACCTGCTTGCCTGCTGCCTGTGGGGAACTATCCCCTCTCCCCCACCCCCTGGCTGGTCCACAAAGCTGAAAAGGTTGGGGAAACTCTGCTATAGTGATTGTTAATGTGAGAAGTATTTGACATACTTCTGTTGGTACACTAAAAATAAAGTTATTTTGTTATTTGTATTTCTGAATAATATGGGTTCCAAGTTCTGTTTGTTACTTCTTCAGCTAATGAATAGTTACGAGTAGTCTTTTTAGTTTAAATGAGATTAAGTCTCGTCTCACCTTGTGGTGAGATGGGCAGCAAATAAATGTTGTGTGTGTGTGTGTGCGCTGGGACTGTCACTGGGAGAATGTATTAAAATATATACCCGTATTTGCCGGCGTATAAGACGACCCGGCGTATAAGACGACCCCCCACCACCACCGGAAATGCCCTCCAGAAATCCCCGGGGCTGCAGCGGCAGGGCGGAGTGCCAGGGGCCATGGGAAGAGCAGGAAGGCTGCAGCCTCGGGCGGAGCGAGGCGAGCGGGATGAAGCGGAAGCGACGCAGGGGATCCGGGAAGCCAGAGGCGCCTTCGCTGCGTCCAACAAGCATCCGAAAGCCGGCAGTGGATATACCGGCGTATAAGACGACCCCCCCACTTGGAGGCATGTTTTTCGGGGCAAAAAAGTCGTCTTATACGCCGGCAAATACGGTATTAAAATGACCTATATATCTAGTATGTGTTACTTAATATGACTCAGAAATGTTTGCAACTCAGTTTCAGTGTGCATGGAAAAGTGGTTTGTTGGCCAGCCAAAGTCAAAAAAATGTCCATGGAGATGAGAAGATACCAGGCACACTTATTGTGGGGTTTGCAGAGTACAGGAATGTTTTCATTCAATAGCTAGGGCTAATATTATACAGTTAAAAGAATGGTGAATTTAAATCCGGGGTGCACTAATTGAGAATTCCTGCACTAGAGTAGTATTTTTATAGCCTGTTTTATCTCAGGGGGGATATTGTCTTTTTAAATCTTCCCCAGTTAGGTTGACTCAGGTTTTAAGAGCCTTGGATCCCAGACAAGTGGTTTATTTGATCTTCCTATGAGAATGGGAGAGATGTTTTATTTTGTAAAAAATAATATATAAAAGTGTTGTGTGAGTGCTTTTTCTATTCTATTCTATTCTATTCTATTCTATTCTATTCTATTCTATTCTATTCTATTCTATTCTATTCTATTCTATTCTATTCTGTTACTTTACTGTATACTATCGCTATTCAATTGCTGTTATAATGACAATGTTTGTATGACTGTGTTATCACTGTTCGATATACAATACCCTCTTCAATTTTAACTTTTCCCATCTCAAAGGCTTTTGCAAACTCTGTGGAGCAGAGTTCTACTCTGGATCAGCTTTCCTCTAGACACTTGTATTTTGATATACTACACATATTGTTTAAGTACTATGGCAAAATTGGTGCAGTGGTTAAGGCATCAGTCTAGAAGGCTTTGAGTTTTAGTCCTGCCTTAGGCACAAAGTCAGCTGGGTAACTACGAGCCAATCATTCTCTCTCTCCTCCCTAGGAAGAAGGCAATACCAATTCACTTCCAAAATCCTTTCCAGGAAAACAGCAAGGATTAATTAAGACAATTGTCAGTACTCAAAAATCTGGCTCCAAGCACAGCAAAAGTCCTGGTTAGTGTAAATCTTATAGTGTAAACTACAGCAAAAGTCCTGGTTAGTGTAAATCTTTAAAGGCCCAATCCAACTTCCACCCAACAATTCTTTTTTACCTGATTCTGTCCTCACTCATCATTTCAAGTTCTTAAAGAAATGATCACTTTTAAGTCATCTTTCTCTAACAAGAAACACACGTCCACAAGAAAGTACTTGATTGTAGAAATTATCCATTTACTTCAATAATAATCTTTTATGAATAGATCTTTTAAAACCAATGTCTTTTTTGACCAATATATACTATCACTCTTAACAATATGCTACATATTTATGACTGTGCTACTGAGACAAACTCTTTGATTGCACTGTAAATTATATCATTTGCAACTACCTTCATTTTTTTCTAAACAAAACTATATTATTATCGTTAAGAACAAAAGAATGTGGAATAACTTGTGTGCTGCTATCATTATTCCACCATTATGCATTCTCATTTTGTCATTGGCATTCAATTATAGTAACAGTTTTGCCCTTCAGTTATTATACATTTTCTTCTTACCTGCTATTTCTTTGTTCATTTGAATGTTCATTTGAATGTGCTAGCCATAGTCATTGCTAATTATATGCAGTCTAGTAAAACTTCACTTTTGAAAAACTTCTCTGCAGGAAAGTGCTACTGTTCCAAAATTACTGATTTCTTACAGAATTAAATCTAATGGAGTTAATGTTGAGGATATAAATCAAAACAATGTACTGAAATTTTTATTCCCTACTTTTACTAACATAGGAAAAGTTTGGTATTGATATGAAGTGCCTTAATTTTTTTGTCACAGTATTAGTACTATTTCATGCAAATAATTGTGTTAAAATATGTAAACTTAATATATAATATACAAAATAAATTAATATAATATTAAAAATTAAAATGCAATTAATTCTCAATAAAGCAATAAATCTATTTTCAAAATCTAAAATCTGGAGCAGTCAGCTCAACTACTAGATTATAAGATAATATGGGTAATAGGTAATATAGGAATCTTAAATCTTAATTATACACATACATGCATATGGACATTATTTTAAAATGTTCAATTTCCACTAGCTTCCATAGTCCTTCCATTAAAGCAAGGCCTAAAGCTATTTTAGCTCCTTTATAAATTGCATTAATTTAGACTTTAATTGAAGGGTCAAAGGCAGTTGACTTTACAAAACAAGAACCAGAGACATAAACACCCAAAGACAAAATGTTGTTCTAGTAAATGGAACAAACTGGATCAGATTACTTGCCGAAGCGTATAATGAGAATGAAGGATAATGAGGATAATGAAGAATACAGTATCTATAGGGGGAGCTTGAAAAATGATAATGTGACAAGATTGGAAGTCCGTAGAGAAGTATTGTCAAAGGAGAAATTTGACAGAAGGAGAAAACATCACAAAGTGTCCTAACAGACATCTTTTGGATTGAATAAAGGCAGAAAGTTGTGTATAACTGATGAATTGCTACCTTAGTCCAGAAATGAAAATAATCAGCTTTCTAGTCTCATGGCTATAGGATGATCAGAAAAATAATAACAGTGGCAGGAGCAAAATGTCTTACTATATTTAAGATGTGCAATGACATCCGAGCCAAAACACCTGCAAGGCAATCTAACAAAATGTGTTATACTGCTATTTATAATGACTGGTGGTTTAAAAAAATCGATTGATTGAGACTGTTACACTGCATCATCTAAAAGAGAGATGAAGGCCTATACCTGTGTGGAATTTATATAAATGTAATACTGAATCCAACAATGTGAAATTAAGGATTGCAGAAGAAATTATAGTGATGATATAGTAAACAGTAAAGAAATATAAGGAACCATAAGAATAACTGAACAGAAGAAAAAACCATTCTAATCAAGTGAAAACATACAACCAATAATAATACCTAGTTACTGAGCTTAGATAATGAAATGTCTGCAAGAAAGCAATCAAGCTCAGAGAGCATCAAGGACCCCTGATTTCAATCCTGAGCTACAAATATTCTCCTTTATTGCTAAACTATTGATTGATAATAGATTGTTTAATATACAACTGTTCTGACTGATTAAAGTTAGTTTTAGTTTTATTTCCTCCAGTGGGACTCTTCCAATACTTTTTCTGTACCTGGATTTGCATTGCACATACTGATTAAATCAGACAAAAAAG